TTCTCATTTGCTTTCCCCATACTTGACGAGACTTTACAATCAATTTCTGGAAGGTCGGCCTATCCCGTCATCCTTTTTGCAATCCTATTTAATAGTAATACCCAAGCCGGATAAAGACGACACGGTCTGTGCGAACTATCTTCCCATAGCGCTTCTAAATTCTGACTACAAAATCTTTACTAAGTTACTAGCGAATAGACTTTCGGTCTTTCTACCCAACCTGGTCCATAAAGACCAAGTTGGCTTTGTCTTGGGCAGACAGGCGGGGGATAACACTCGAAGACTTATTGATCTGATAGACATCGCAAATCGGGGGAAGGTGGGCATGGTCCTTCTCAGTTTAGACGCTGAGAAGCCCTTCGACAGATTGGGTTGACCTTTCCTGAACTCCCTCCTGGCGCGTATTGGTGTGGTGGGGCCGTTTGCTGCAGCCATGGCCTCTCTCTATTCTACGCCAGCGGCGTCTATCAAAATGCGAGGGGCCGTATCCCAGCTGTTCCAGATCCGTAATGGATCCCGACAGGGATGCCCGCTTTCCCCGCTACTGTTTGTGCTTTGCATAGAGGCTAACGCAGCACTCCCCCCTCGGACCTAGATCTGTACGCCAGAATCAAAGATGTCCAAAAACTGGAATACTTGACTGCCAGAATCAACAATACCTGGAAGCTACATAATAAGATCTGGGAAGCCTGGGATGCGTTGGAGCTGAATGGCTGCAGCGACTGAGGGGGAACGGGGGATATCAACCAAGGTGGTAGGGGACGCGAGATGTAGCCGGTATCTACTTCTTACTCTAACTTCTACTTTACTTTTTGTCTTCTCTTTCTGTTCCATGTCTTCCTTCTTCCAGGGAACTACCCTGGCCATTTCTTTTTGACTGTCTTCTAGGATAGCTTGACCTAATCCAGGCGTGGCACCGGAAACCGCTTGTTTCAGTATTATAACATAGTAGTCTACCTCTAAACCGTTCTACTGCTAGACTTAGGTAATGTGTGGGAAATGGATGTATACCTAAACTATTTTTGCATTCCTCTACATAGGTACAGTAATATCTGCTAGCCATTTTGTTTTCCTCATATGATGGTTGCATGTCTTTCCCCCGGATAAGGACTTGACTTTGTAAGGGATTTAACTATGCACAGTTGGCTGCTATACAATGCTTACATGGATAAGGTCCACATGTTATACTGGTCGCTGTTTCATGTTTTGTGTATTTTGTCATCTCTGTAACTCTTGTGTATAAAAGTTAATAAAAATTGTCAATTTGAAAAAAAAAATACACAGTGTAATAAATTGTTTCAGTGTCAAATATAAGTTCAATAAGAATTTATACTATGTAACTCAGTCCCGGTAAATGTGTGACAAATGTCAGTGAAAAACTGATGAATACTTTAAAGGAGAACTATGAGGCGAGTGCTTTTCACTCACCTCATAGTTCTAGCCGACCTGTGACAATGAAACTGTCACAGGTCGGCTCAGTAGATCGGGAGGTGAGCGAACACATACCGGTGTTCGCTCACCTCTCGATCCTGTCACAGCTCTCTGCCGTGACAGGGGAGGGGCTGGATTCCCCCCTCCCTGCCCCTATCTGCCAGCGCTGACTGGCGGAACGGACGGAGGAGGGGGTGGGTACAGCTGGCTCTGCCTCTAGATAGGCAGAGCCAGCTGTCACTCACGCAGCTGGGCGGATCCAGACATAATTGTCGGGATCCGCTTCAGCGTCTCTGTATACCGCGAGCAGTAGCTTGCGGTATGCTGTGGCGTCTCAGGTATTGTGGCGTCTCTAAGGTATACTGAGCTTAGGGTGACGGGAGGACGCTAGTTGGTGTCCTCCCGTTACCCTGAGGAGAACTATGGGGAAAAGCCTTAACCCCGTAGTTCTCCTTTAAGTAGTGAGAACAGGGGGGTTTCTTCTTGATCCCAATCTTATGGACAGCAACCCCCCAAGCAGTAATTACTCACCAGATATAGTGAGCAAGTATAGCCACTCTGAAAGGTGTCAGCCCGGTCTCTCGATCTACCCGTCTGGTATATTCAAATCTCCCGGCAGTGAGACGGATATCAATAGGCGCTTCTCTCCTGCAGTAACGAAGTCATCCCGGCTTTCCGTCACAGGCAAATAGCGGCTCCTCTCCTTCACGATCAGCCGCTGCCTCTCTCACAGTCCCAAAGGATGTTTAGGGGGGTTTAAAAGAAAAAAAAACAACCCTCATGGTGCAGTAAATCAAACAGGGTAATTTATTAAAAAATCAATAACTTACATAAAAGACTAAAAACTTCGGCCGGCCAGAAAAAAATGGATGGGAGCTTACAAGATTAGATCCCCTCCAATAATTTTTAATTTTGTCAATGCCACATATCTTTAGATTTTGGTTCTTCCCACATATTGTAAACCGCATGGACATTCCAAGAAGTAAGTGACATAACAACTGTTGCATGAGATACAATTCTTTATCTTATATTCTTTTCCATTACTTTGGGATTTAAAGGAGCTAATCTTGCCTCTGAGACCTGTGGTGCTACAGCTAATGTATCTCTAACAGGGGTAGAATCCCACTCCCTCAAAAAAAGTGGTAGGTTGTTTGGGTGGGTCAATAAATCTTTTGATAATTTATCCCTCAAAGTGGGTGCCCATCTATAAATGACTCTGGGTTTGGAAGGACTCTGGGTTTTCATTGGGAAACATTGGGACATCTTAAGATGTCCCAATGTTTCCCAATGATGTGTTCTACTTCTTTATGTTGAACGGAAAAGTCAGTGATGAAAGATATGGGGAAGGGTTCATTTGTTTTCCCTTTCGGTTTCAGTAAGGATAATCTATCTAAATCTGCAACCTTATTCCTTATCTTATGAAGTTCATCTATATTATAACTCTTTTTTGAGAACCTATCAGTAAGGATTTGGGATTGCAAGTGGAAATCTTCTAATTTAGTGCACTTCTGTCTCATGTGCATACATTGTCCTTTAGGAATCCCTCTCAGCCATTGTAAATGGTGACAGCTATGAGTAGGGATATATCCATTTTTGTCTGTGGGTTTGAAGTAAGTTTTGAGGGAGTGGGATTCTACCTCTGTAAGAGATGCATTAGCTGTAGGACCACAGGTCTCAGAGGCAAGATTAGCTCCTTTAAATCCCAAAGTAATGGAAAAGAATATAAGATAAAGAATTGTATCTCATGCAACAGTTGTTATGTCACTTACTTCTTGGAATGTCCATGCGGTTTACAATATGTGGGAAGAACCAAAAGGGAACTAAAAAAGAGATTAGAGGAACACATTATCAACATTAAGAAAGGTTTTATTAAACATAGTCTGTCTAGGCATTACAAAATGTTCCATAATCAAAATCCACAAAATCTAAAGATAGGTGGCATTGACACAATTAAAAATCATTGGAGGGGATCTCATCTTGTAAGAGATATTTGTAAGAATGAATCTAAGTAGATTTTTCTTTTAGATACTCTGGCTCCTAAGGGGTTAAATATAGACTTTGATCTTAATTGTTTTTTAAACAACTATTAATGATGTTTCAAACTTTTTAATATTCATTTTATACATTTCTTCTCTTTTTGTACGGGGTTTTTATAATCGTTTTATTAATGGGATTTCTGATTGTACCAACGTCTTCCTTTAGGGTTTTTTAGAAGTAATTTATTTGAATGATTACTTCATTTTTTTATTGTATATGATATATATATAAATCATGCTGTAGTAGCTAGTGGAGATCTGCCTACCTTCCGAAGAAGTCAGGTGACAAAACGGCCCAAGGGGCAGTTCTTTTCAGTTTATGGGATGTAACACGAGCTGTTTGTGAAAGCTCCCATCCATTTTTTTCTGGCCGGCCGATGTAAGTTGTTGATTTTTAATAATTTATCCTGTTTGATTTACTGCACCATGAAGGTTATTTTTTTCTTTTGAACCCCCCTAAACATCCTTTGGGACTGTGAGAGAGGCAGCAGCTGATGGTGAAGGAGAGAAGCCGCTATTTGCCTGTGACAGAAAGCCGGGATGACTGCGTTACTGCAGGAGAGAAGCGCCTATTGATATCCGTCTCACTGCCGGGAGATTTGAATATACCAGACGGGTAGATCGAGAGACCGGGCTGACACCTTTCAGAGTGACTATACTTGCTAACTATATCTGGTGAGTAATTACTGCTTGGGGGGTTGCTGGCCATAAGATTGGGATCAAGAAGAAACCCCCTGTTCTCACTACTACTATTCATCAGTTTTTCACTACTTAAAGTATTCATCATTTTTTTCACTGACATTTGTCACACATTTACCGGGACTGAGTTACATAGTATAAATTCTTATTGAACTTATATTTGACACTGAAACAATTTATTACACTGTATTTTTAACCACATAAATTGTTTTATTTCTTAGAATTTAATGTTTTTTCCACTCAAAATTCCCACAGACATCTAATTGATCATACTTCAATATATTTACATATTTGTTAATTTATATTATTTGTTATATTGGAACTTTCACTTTTAACACTGGGTATTTATTTTAATTTGCTCACCCTTAGCGCTGTGTTATCATTTCTAAATTCTGGACTCAATAACTTTTGTATTAAGCATAGGCATATTGATTGCAAAGTGTTAACCACTTTCCCAATGGGCATAACTACAGTGATGTGCTGGCTCTACCCAATTCCTCCCACCAGCAAGCTTACAGGATGAAAAAGAAACATGAATGGTCCTGTGTCCTATTTTTTTTCTCTCCCCAATTTTAAGGTTTAAACAAATGTTCAAACAAAAGCTGCACAGCAGCCAGGGGGAGTACACAATATAGATTGCTGCAAATTGGAGTTCTGTTTTAAAGAAGAAGTATCACCACTTGGGGGATCCAACAACGATTTTCAGTTTACATTTCAGTACATATACTGTTAAATATGTGAAGACTGCAGACATTTTAAATTAGGTTTAGACAAAGACTTACATGGGTTGTGAACACTCTTGAAGATTACAGGTTCTGCGAATGGGTTTTAGTTTCATGATGAATTCACACATCTTCTTATTCACCATTTTGTGGTCCGATTTTCTGCGACAGCCATATTTTGTGAACTGATAGCCTACAAATTAAAATAACATACTTTTTATTCACACAATTTGTGCATATTGAAAACATGTCAAGATGTAATTTTCAACTAAATATAAAGAAACTATACAAAAAACAGGTTTGTAATTCTGGAAGGGGTACATAAAGAGCAACGCATCTCCTAAAAAGGGCAAGGTTATACATTACCATAGTACAGGAATGCATCACTTATGCATACAAATTAGGAAGAATGTATTGTCAAAAATGCTTATTGCCAATTTTTGACACCTTAGAAAAATAAATTAAGCCTGAACCTATAATATGATTTCATTTAAGGTGTAAGCAACAAGCACACACTTGAAAGATAAAACATTTAGTGATATTAAAGTTTTTTTTGGTTTTTTTTGGTTCCACCTAGGAGGCCCACCTTTAACTAAATCGACTTTTCTTCTTCAGCTAAGCAGCTGCTGTGGAGGCACCCATGCGTGTTTGTGCCCACAGTAGCAGTGTGTGTTCATAGACACATGCAGCCCTTTGGCAGATCACGCCCCTCCTCTCTGCCCAACAGTTTGATTGATAGCATAAGGAGCTGATCCCTTCAGTGTTTGTCCTGCACAGAGGATTGGTACATATCACTGATATGTACCGATCCTCTGCCGCTCGGCCACGCACACAGGGGGGGCTCAGCCTGCAACTTCTCCTCTGGATCCCGCTGCTCTACTGGGAAGGGGCAGCAGGGGATCCGAGGAGAAGTGAAGGAAACACTTCAGCCGCGGGGGGCGGAGGAGGGAGCCGCTGTCACAGCATCATGGTCGTGCGGTGAGGAGAGAGAGAGCCGCGGCTGTCAGATCCTGGCCCAGCGGCTTGCTCTCTCCTCACTGCTCGGCCATGCTGCTGTGATAGCGGCTCCCTTCTCTGTCCCCCCCCCCCCCACTCCCGGCCGCCGCCCCTCCACCACCTCCCACTAGCCTCGCTTGCCTTGCAAAGGACAATGTTCTAACCGGCTATAGCCGGCTCTCTCTCTCTCCTGCCTCTCCCCTGTCTCCAACGGCTTACCTCCACCTGACGATTAGCGCCATAATAGCGCTTCACTACCGGGCAAACACGGTACACGGGAAATCGGCACCCAAGAACAGCAGGATCATTGAACGGCTGAAAGATATCTGGTTGACCTCGGATGCAAGTATACCAGCCATATATTGCCTATATTGTACTCTATTGCATACCGAAGGCTATTGCATATTATATCTGCTTATTGCATACCGCATACTATATATTGCATACTGGGCTACTGGTTTTTTTTTAAAACTACATCCAGGACGCAGTCCAGGATATCCAGGGTATATCAAGGAAATAGACTGTCGCAATCCAGGATATCCAGGATGCAAGGATACCAGACATATACTGTCATATATTGAACTCTATTGTATATCGGAGACTATTGCATTCTATATCAGTTTACTGCATATCTCATACTGCATACTGCGTATCGGTTTACTGTTTTTTTAAACTACATCCAGGACGCAGTCCAGGATATCCAGAAAATATCTAGGAAACAGCAGACTGTCGTAATCTAGGATATCCAGGATGCAAGTATACCAGCCATATATTGTCATATATTGAACTCTATTGCATACCGGAGATTATTGCATTCTATATCATCTTACTGCATATCGCATACTGCATACCGCATACTGCATAACGGTTCACTGGCTTATTAAATTACATCCAGGACGCAGTTCATGATATCCAGGATATATCTAGGAACAGCAGACTGTAGCATTATATTGTGTTTTTTACAATTCAATCTATCCCATTAGCACAACGATACTAAATCAACGCATGGGGGGGAGGAAAAGAAGAAAAAGACACAGCAGCCGCAGCCGCAGGCACCATCGTTACCACCAGCGAATACAATGAGGAGAAGCTCTTCAACAAAAATTGGAACATACTTTACAGTTACCCGTTCAAGACTATCTGTGGAGGGGGGAGGTAGGCTGGAGATGGCTACCCACACACCTACGGGAGGACGGGAAAGGGACAAGGTACAAGCTTAATTGGCACAAGATCATGTCATACATCCACATACTAATTCACATACCTTGTATACTAGAACATCCCCAAATATATCAAATGAGACATCCCCTTATAAAAACACCTGTTTATTCGAACAAGAGCAGGAGCAAGAGGGGGTGCAACAACAGGATATTGGGGAATGTCTGCGATCTCTGCCAAGCAAAAAAGATATGGAAAGTTATATCGTCAGATTAGAAACGACATACAAGGAAGAGCTGAAGGACTTAAAATCCGACATCTCTATTATAGGAGAACGAGTTATTGGGCTGGAGGAAAAACTAGATATATGGATTTCCAGATTTGAATCACAACAGAAAATTATAAGCAACCATGCAGTGATGATACAGGAAATGATGTATAAAATAGATAATATGGAAAACAGGAACAAACGTAATAATATACGGATAAGAGGTATACCAGGGACAGTGGAGACACACGCTCTCTTACAAAGTAAGAGGTATATTTATTAAAACATGGAGTTTAAAAGAAACTCCACGTTTTAAAGAAAGAGAAGGCAAGTAAATTGAAGGGATTATTTAAGAAATTAGAAGAATTGGAGGCAACAAATAAAACGAATGTAACAACAAAATACTCTACTCAACTTAATGAGGTGAGAAAATACATTAGGAATATTCTGGACCAACAAACATTAATTAATAGAGATAAAAGTAAAAAACATTACTATGTAGTAGGTAATACATGCGGGAGGTCACTAACTCGGAAAATACACCCAAGAAACCCTAATGCTAATATATTGCGAATTAAAGATAGGGAGGGGAATATAAAATATTCTCCGTCCGAGATAACAGAAACATTTTAAAATTATTATGCCTCATTGTATTCAATAAGAGGGAAATATGCAGATATCGCAATAAATAAATACAAATAAAAAAAAAAAATTATATCATAGAAGCAGATTTGCTTGTAATAGATATCGAGGACGGAGAAATTATGAATTTGATATTCTCAGAAAAGGAAATTAAAGAAGCAATATCCACACTACAAATTAGCAAGGCTCCTGGGCCAGATTGGTTTACAGCACGATTTTATAAACAGTTTATAAACAGTTTGAAGAACAGTTAATACCTATCTTTACAAAGACCTGTAACTCAGTTACAGAGAATTGTCCCTTCCCTACACAGACAATGGAAGCCCATATATCTGTGCTTCCTAAACCAGGTAAAGACCTAACGGAATGTGGACATTTTCGTCCAATCTCTCTTATAAATATCGATCTGAAGATTTATGCTAAAGTGTTGGCGGCCAGGTAAAAAAAGTCCTCCCCCAAATAATTAATCTGGATCAAACTGGATTTGTCCAGGGAAGAGAGGCTAAAGACAGTACAACTAGGGTCATCAATCTAATAGAACTTGCCCAGAAAGAAAATATACCAATGTGTCAATTCTGTCAATTGATGCTGAAAAAGCATTTGACAGAGTAAATTGGACCTTTCTTAGGGAATCACTTTTGAAAATGGGATTGGGTGAGATATTTGTATCTAAGGTAATGGCATTATATACACAACCAACTGCAAGAGTAAGGGTGAATGGGGAACTATCCGCCCCGTTTCCAATCTTTAATGGAACCCGGCAGGCATGCCCCCTATCACCATTACTATATGTCATAGTGATGGAACAACTAGGGGGGATGCCCCCTATCACCATTACTATATGTCATAGTGATGGAACAACTAGCTGCTACTATAAGACAAAATCCATCAATAAAAGGTATTCATTTAGCAACACAACATAAAATGGCATTATACGCAGACGATTTACTTTTCTTTATAACTTCCCCATTAACAACAATCCCTAATATTATGAAAGACCAAAGGAATATGGGGACCTGAGCAATTTTCATATAAATATATCCAAGTCAGAATTTCTTAATATATCCCTAACGGATAAAGTAAAACTCAACATAAAAGGAAAGTTATTCATTTAAATGACATGAGGAGAGAAATATCTGAGAAGGAATGGAGTAGAATATTTAAAAACACATAGCTCAGTCATGTCTTCATTCCATCAAGATAAAAACTAATTCTATTGTATATCTGGGTATTAATATCCCTAAGGATCTCAGTACACTCTATGATATTAATTATAGAGATTGGTCCTGACAAGATTTTTGCTCAAATTAATACATGGAGTAATATACGAATGTCCTGGATGGGACGAGTAAACGTCCTAAAAATGGACATCTTGCCCAAAATCCTGTATAGAATTCAGACAATACCCATTCTATTGCCAGATACCTTTTTTTTTTAAACTAAGATCAGCAGCAGTGAAATTCGTATGGGCTAACAAAAACCCCCGAACTAGTGTAAAAACTTTAATGAGATCAAAACAAAGAGGAGGATTGGGATTCCCGGACTTTGCACTTTATCATAAAGCGGCTTTAATATCAAGATTATTGGATTGGTTACATAAGTCAGAATAAAGGGGTGGTAAAACTAGAGATCGATATTTCCCCTATACCTCTGACGAGTATCTCCTGGTTACTAAAAGAGAATAGACCACATATTTTAAACATGCCACTTTTAGTGAAGTTGGTAATACAGACCCGGGCCCCTGACTCCCATAGTGGGAAATCCACAATTTCCACCCGGTATGCAAGTGTTCTCCTTACTGAAAGATGAGAACATCCCATATACACGTGTTTGGCAGGTCTAGGAACAAGGTAAAGATGAAGTAAAAAGTGAGTTTAGACCAGAAAAACAAACTAACGGGAAATTGTGGATGGAGGCGGTCCAATTATTGGATTATATAAGATTCCTTAAGGCTATTAATCCCCTAGATAGGCCATTAAAATCATTCGAGAAACTCTATATAACAGAGACACCTATTACACACACTTTATCAGTGGTCTATGGCATGTTGAGGGAGGTGGAAGATAAGGGACATACAAAATATATGAAAAGATGGGAACAAGACATGAGGAGAGAAATATCTGAGAAGG